TTATTATATAATAACATATAATAACATGCACTTGTGTAAGTAATGCAATAGTTTCAAAGGTGTTTTAAGTTATATATATTACCCACAGATTAGGATTACAGTTTACTATGTTTCATGTAATTGGAGACAGCTATTTAAATCATTAAAAATTGGTCGAGTAAAAATTCTGTTACGACTACAACATAAAACAGTGTATAAATATAAAACTTTATATTTATTTCCAAAATAATTTTAAAAAGTTTGTATCTAGAAGAACTTCATTAGATAACATTTTAAAAAAATACAACTTAAGAAATCTGTTTGTTTTTAGTTTATTTCAGTGGAGGATATTATAATCGATACATTTGAAATTATATTGTTAACACGATGAACATATAAGTTTTAGATATCAAAGTTATCATATTTCAATAAAATTAAGACTGGGTTATATAACAATGAAACATACCCCCCACACTATCATCAGTCCTAAGTATTGTAGGTGAAGATATGATTGACAAACCATACATTTTTCTAGTAATTACAGAATTATCAGGCACACTATCATTCTGTATCCAGGATTATTGACACATTTTTTTAGAAAGTTCTTGCTTTAGTTCTTTACTTGACTCGACAGGTCTGGTAAATCTTTATACAAAAAGTATTTATGCTAAGTATCCAAATTACAACTGTATTTTAGAAAATTAATTAAACAACAAAATTATTTTATCTTTTAAGCACAGTTTTGAATAATGTAGATAAATTATGCTACTATCATCTTACCACTAGTTGCAAAATCTTTGTTTATCCAAGAAAATTACAAATATAGCTTAACGTGACATTATAAATTGATTAATAGTAGAATAAACAGAAAACAAAAATAAGTCTGACAAAAAACAAGAAAATGAAAACTTAAAATTTACCATCTACAGGTTGCAGCATTTGCCTGAACTTTCTGTCTGGAGATGTTTGTTATCTTCAATTAAGATTGCATTTGTTTATATATTTTCTTCTTTAAAAGTCAGAGATTCCAAAATGCTTCCATTACTGTCATAAGAGATTTAAGATAATAGAGCAAAAGCAATGCATAAAATCATATTGTATATAAAAATGTGTGTTAAGAAAATACCATTTCATTCATACAGTAATACTCCAGATATCTTTAAAAGTATATAATATAATAAGACTAAGCAATAAGTTGTGTATATTTTTATTTATGTAAGCTATATCACAAAACTGCAAGCAGAGTTATTACATTTAAAGTACTCTTTTTTTCTTTTTTAGCCATTCCATCTTTGATATTTACATAGTGTTGGAAATTTACATTTTTAGCAACTCGGTATAGTGATGTTATTGAATCTGCAAACCAAGTAGTATTTTATTCAGAATTTTGCAATACACCTACATCCATATTTAAATAACTGGATTTCTTCTTTTACAGTTCTTATACCATGGCTGTAGCATACTTTTTTCTTATTTCTTTCATCACACTTGTACCACAGTGAAATAGAAAGAAATTAATTAAAAACAAAAACAAGAAGGCAGAAAATAAGCATATAATAATTACAGAATTGAAGTAAAACAAAACTATTGTACATTTCACAAGTACATAATTTATTATCACCATGATTTTGCCAGTAAAGGCATCATCAGGCGTCATTTACTGGCGAAACTATAGTCGTAATAAATGATGAATTTGTGAAACATACAATTGTCATGTTTTCCTTCAATTCTGTAATTATGGAGTTTCACCAAGTACCAACGGTTTCAAGTATCAGTTACATATAATAATTAAAATAAGTTGGAATAACTTTACAAACAGGCATATTGTGATTATATAAAGTCTCTTTGAATAATTACAAACTTTTTTTAATACATCGGTTTCACATTTTATTTAACAAATATGTCAAATTTAAATTCTAAAGATTGAACAAATAATTCTTGAGGTTGATGATCATCTTCACTAATAGTCTCTGATTCACCTGAATAGTACAAGCACTTCTTGTTTCTCCTTTTTTGTAGGAGTGTCTTCATTTTTATATCCATACTTAAGTATTAATGTAGCTTTATGGGAGACTTCTTTTCAGGAGCCTTTAAGTTTAAGTAGTACTAGTAAGACATATGAAGCAAGTTTTGTCGTAAATCTTACTCTTAGTATTACAAAGTCTTATTAGTAAAAACTAATACTACTAGTACTAGTAACAGTCAGAAAAATATGCTGTATCACTATCTTGTATTAGTTGCAGAGTTAATATATACGGGTGTAAAAGTCGGAGACACAAAAAGGTGATAATGTGCATTTTTTGCAATATATCCTATATTTTGTGTTGAAAAACTAAACAAACTCATATTTAGTGATACTTTTCTCTTCTAACTAAATTATATTTACAGGTAAAACGTAGCAAGATGAATGAGATGGCAGAACCCAAAAATGACACACAGAGACAGAGAATATATAGGATCAATGTATCATAGAATTGTTGCCAAATAGAAAAGTTTTATATGTCATGATAGATTTTAATAAATAATGATTATTACTGAAGATATTTATTTTTCTTCATCACTTTGTGTATGTCAGTTATCGTGTGCGTTAAGTTTCTGATGCATCAGTCTGAAAAACTGCTAAGACTAATTAATTGCAGTAAATATCAATTAATAATATTTTAAATGTTTATATATTCATAGAAAGTATAATATAACTACATCTTGCTCAGAGTAAACCCCTAATACAACTACATCTTTTTCAGAGTAAATCCCTTTTGTACGTCTCCAACCTTTAGTATTTCCTTTAATAATAATAATACTAAATAATATAGTAATACCTAATTCTGCATTAAAATTAGAAATTCAATAATTGTACTCAAGTTGTAAAGTCTGATTTAATCTACAATTAATACAACTAAGTTTTAAATTTTTGTATTCATAAACTAACCACAAAGTAATGTAGAAGCTAAAACACTTACCAACTGCCAAAATATAAGCTGCACAGGGAGTCCACTTTGGATTTTTCGTTCTTAGTTCACCTTTGGTTTTAAACCACCATCTGGCCATTGAAATTCAATTACACTCTTTTTACCAACGTCTGAAACACCTAGTGTAAAAGTCCTAATTCGACAGTGTTGTCTTTAAAGAAATCAATTAAAACAAATTACTTTTTATCTAACATTTTCAACGTTCAAAACGTCACTTTCCAAAGTTCCATCTGATTAGTTAATATGTGATCACGTGGCTAATGGTGAAATCAGAAAATACCTTCATGCATTAGAAATCTGTTAGTTAACAAAACAATGTATTTAGATAAATGTAAAATTACATTTAAAAAGATGCCAAGCAATATTTTCTAATTGCTAATCAAACTCTGTATTGATTAGCAGTTTCTGCTAATCAAATCCACCAAACTATTTTGTCACCTGTGTTTCCAAATATTTTTTCTTAATTATGTTTGTTTTTATTCTTTTTTAATTAATATCATTTCCCAGTGATGTGTGACTGGTCTGTTGATTGGTATGTTTCGTACTTCCTGGTCATTTTGCTTCTACCCATTTCTGCAATTTTACATGTTTTACACTCTTGTAATAATTAAATCAATTCTATTATCACAGAACTAAGGAAATTCTTGGATGATAAACTTTACTTCTTTGTGGAGTTTTCTTATATGATATGGAGGAGACTTTCAAACCTGGAAATATTTTATTCAGTAATTTAATTTTATGTTGTGCCAAAAAGTTAGTGATTATGGGTAAACTTAATTTGTTTCCTGCCTCAAATTATTTTCTGAATGTTTTAGAATAAAGAAGTTTTGTTGTAACATATTTTTCATAATGTGTAGCATGTTAATTCTGATGCCAATAAGTTTACTAAGTAGAATAAATATGAATTGTAGCTTTATAACCAGTTTCTTTGGTGTTAGAGTTAACTTACTGGGTTTATTTTCCTTGTAACATTCTTGCTTTTATCTGTGGCTGTACCTTCAATTTTAATTCTAGTTTTCATATATGCTAATGAAATAAGTCATTTCTTTTGTGTATGGATGTAGTTGATATTTTTAAAAATCATGCTATGAATTCAGTTGGGTGTATAAAGTTGAATTGTTTTAGGTAGAAAATAATGGTATAGACCATTAATAAGTTTCCTTTTTTGTCTTACATTATTTGTAAGTGGTTTATGTAGTAACTGCTCTTACTTCTTTCAGTCTCTCTTTCTCTGCAAAAAACATTTATATTATAAATTATCCTTATTTTTCTTAGATTGGAAGACTTTAATGGACTTGCCGATGCGGGATTCCTTCTTTGAAGAGCCAGTTTTTTTTATAAAGAAATGGGTTAAACAGTTTTTTCTATTCTTCAGTAATAAACCTGAAAAGGATACTTCACATATTATAAATGAGAAGTTAAAGTTTCTAAGATTCCTTCAAGAGAATATTAAGAATTGGCATCACAAACTTTTCCATTCTGATAGATTAGAGATGCCATCATTGTTGCATTATTTGAAATTATTGGGTAAGTTCTGTTCTATAAGAATTAGTTTAATTTAATCATTACTGTTTAAAGTCTGTGTGAAATGTTTTGTATAGTTGACAAGCTTTGTATTTGTGAAATATGATAATAAGGAAAGAAAACTTGTGCCTTCTTGGTTTAATTTTTTTAAATTGAAATTCTGCAAGTTTCAAAGAAATGTAATAAGTGTTTAAGTTTTCAGCCACATCAGTGCAAAGGTTTTCTTTTTGAAAGACATGCTTATTTTTTATGGTTTATATCCACACAGTTTCTTCCTGAAAGAATTATAACAGTGAATTTCTTTAAATGTCAGTATACAGTACAGAGGGTTGTTTATGATCTATGGTAAAACTTACACATCCAGTCACTTTGTCTCTGGCTATCCATGTGGCCTGTGACTACTTGACAGATTAAAAGATCTGACCCTCTTGTTGCAATTGAGTTGAAGTGTAGTGAGTTGTAAACATATGTGTCCTTAAAATTGACCTCTTTTGGGAGGGTTACATTATAGGACTTTCCAATGTCCGATGCAAATTCTTTTATCCTGTAACCATAACTACATACCATGAGGAAGTGCCATTTCAGTACAGAATGAATGTCAGAAAGGTTTATTTCCATCAAGATGAAGTAACATAACCAGGTAAACATATCAGTTCCTCTGAAAGATAAATAAATTTATGCCATTTCCTTTTCAAGTCTCTTTCATAGCTTTCTGTGCCTTTTTGTTGCTCAGATAGAACCTTAGTAGTTTTTAACTGTGTATACTGATGAACTTTAGAAAGTGTTAAAAAGAGGGGACAGCACTGACCTCAGAGTATCGTGCTGTGGAAATAATTGGGATCATAACAAAGAACATCATTAATGGTGGAAGAAAGTAATTTAAAGCTTAGCCATTTATTGTAATATTACTATAGATCGTGAACAACCTTCTATATATATATATATACATCTACCAAGCAGCTATTCTATACAGGAAATATTTAGTTTCTTGATGTTGGAGTGAACCTCTGAAATGGTGGTGATGGTGATCAAAAGGCATTTTGACAAATTATCTGATAACTATATATTTAATACTAATTCAAAAAGTAATTCGTATAAAACAAAAATAAAGCAGGGATCTGTATACTTAGAAAAAATATATTCTTTGAATCACCATCTGCATTAGATGTGTATTATGAAAATACTGTTTACTTTACTGTCCAATAATATCCTTCATGTCTAAAAAATGTTTAATTTTTTAAAAGTCTTGATTGGAACATGCTAAAGCTGGTTTAAGTCATGTGATAAATTCAGTTTGGGGTGTTGCTTTTTGTAGAAGGTCTATTAAAGAAACTTGTCTACTGTTTCAGGGGGCAGTGTATTTTACTTTGTGAATAGAGGAACTGCTTTATGACTGTCACATGGTGCAAAGACACTTCTGGATTCTCATGACCCAATTATTTGATTGTTTTTTTTCAGAGGGAGGGTATATTGTGAATGCAATTTAACAATTTTAAACCAGATTTGTTTCAATTTTGAAGGAACCAAAATGTGTTTTGGGAGTTTCATTTTATTTTTCAGTGCTATTTAGTTGTTTCATTTAAAATTTTTCTTTATTTCACAGCCCAGTTGCTTACTACTATTTGATCAGTTATTTTCTTGTTTATATTTAAATAGTTTTTGTTTTTTTTTAACTTGAACTCTGTAACGTGTCTCCTTTATTCTTCTTTAACAAATCACTACATATGTCCTTTTCCATAGTAGGTTCTTAAACCTCTAGTTGTTGCAAAGATGGAATAACTTTGTGCTAGGTTTAACCTTGAAACTACCACAGGGGTTATATTTTTCCAAAATTATGAGGCATGTATACCAGAAAAATTTGCTGTTTTGATAAACAAAAGTAATAACTGTGTTTTACCAGTATTCTCATTAAAAAAAACTTGTTTGCAGTGTTACTTTATAGATGCAAGTAATTTGTGTTATAAAATATTTTTGTATATTTCACCAGGAAGAGATATTGGACTCTTTACATTTCAAGATATCAAGGAGTATGCTGAAATTATTTTTAGACAGCTTCAGAAAGAAAAACAAGATTTTTATTATAATACAACAAGAATAATAGAATTAGTTGATTTGAACTACAGATTTCCAACAATAATAGGATGGCCTCTTCTGTTGAAGTTTAATGCTCTACTAGGTGTGTCACCACAGGTATATACTCACGCACACTTCAGTTTTAAGTCCAATCAAGAAAAAACATTCAGTGGAAGTTTCTTTCTGCTACCAAGGTAAGATTTTCCTTAAGATAGTAGCTCTTTCCTGATGTATAACACAGGAAAGTTTAAATTATAGGGGGGTTTTCCTTTCCTTAAAATTTATTTTTGAACAAAATAATTTTTTTTTTATAAAACATAGAAAAATTAA